TTGGGGCCTCTTTTGTATGACGAATACGAAAGAAAAACACTATTCTATATGAGTTTTACAAATTTGAATTGAACTCAAAAAAATATCTAAAAAACATGAAAAACTCATTTGAAATGTCGTTTTCTTTCCCTTTCAAGGCCCTTAAATATAATTGTCTTTTTTTTAATGAATATTGATATTTTCTAAATCGATATATGATAATGCAACAGTAAATCATTGTAAATTATCTCTTAAAATGAATTAATTATTATTATTATTATTATTCTTTTTGAGTTCTTCCGTTTAATATATCTGAAACACGAAATGTTTTTCTCTACAAAATTCCACCAGAACTCTGGCACGGGTGCTCTTTTTGCACTCATAAATAGTCGCAAATACATTTATCTGATGTGTATGTACATACATAACTTAACTTCAACTTGTCCGACTTGCTACTTAGCTTTAAAACATTTGTTGTCATAAGACATTCGTCGAAAATAATTTTACACATTTTCCGATCGGTCTGGCGAAAACGTAATTCAAAAAGCCATTCATTCCCATTTCTTTGCAGTGGCATATTTTAGTGCAGAATACCTTGGTCAGCAATTTCGAAACTTTGTTGAACGTAAAACAATCTTGACCTGGGTTCTAAATCAATCACCTCCCCAGCGAAACCGGGCAATTCGCAAAGAAATAGGGTGTTAAGTATGTACATTAGGGTAATAACATTTTGCAAATATCAAAAATACTACCACATAGCCGTGTAAAGCATGGAAAAATAATGAGAAATTCGTTGTAATTTTTTCTGCAGGCATTTGAAGAGTTTCCGAACCGATTGCATGCAAGTTCTCCTTTGCATTTACCCAAGGCGACAAAAAAAAAAAAACGTACATGGAACAAATATTGAATATGATGGTCAATATTGGACCATTTTACCTAATCAAAAGCATGACCTTCTTCAATCTCCAAAATTTTAATATGTTTCTTGATTTATTTAATGGTGCTAGGGTGGTACTGTCGTTTAATTACTTTTTCACAGGTTCTTCGTGATTTTGTTTGTCTATGCTTCCATACAAATACATACTACTTCATTCACGAGTTCGTTTCGAAATGCCAAGAGCAGTGGAATCGAAACAATTGCTGGTACTGAAACAGAGAATTGTAACGATTCGCAGCGATGTAAGTGAAACATAACCATTGGCCTGGGTTTGTGGGGCATGACACTGTCATTCACGCCATGACCCACTCATACTCTCGACTGTCAACAGTCAAGGATCGTGCGTAACAACTAAATTAAATTTATGGATTTATAATTGAAGAGCGGAACGCTTACAAAAGTATAGTAGGCTATCAAATACATACACACCAATATGCATCGTATTCGATTGCAACGCAGATAGTTTTTTTTTATTTTCGCAATTTGATTTTCTATGTGTGGCTTATGTAATGTGTCCAATGTCATTATTTACCCTCTGCATGATGGACAACAAAGACTTTGCTTTGAGATGGACTCTGTTCTTCGAACTCTAAAACTATTCACTTAAGCCATGGCTCCCTCTAGAGCGAAGAGAAGATTCTGTATTTGAAGCTATCGCTTTTATTTCGGGATGTTCGTTTTTCTGCATGCACCGATTGTGGTGGCTTCCTAGCAATCGCTTCATGTAACGTCGCCCGCTCCATGTTCGCCCATAAACTCACTAAGACACATCAGCTGCATGATGTGCTTATGAAAATAATTCCACCAGACAAAACTGTGTTGAGAGAAGTTTCTGCAATTCATGGTAACACATGTTCACTTGAGTTGGACCAATAGCAAAGTCATTCCCTCCAAGCAACACGGGTACCTTAATCGTCTGCCACAATTAAGCATAGACGGTTGAGACTGACGTGAAATTGGGCAAAACCGATGGAAGATTGGAGTTATACTATTTAGTATTACACTCGAAAAATCCCGACAGACAACTTTTCAAATTGATTCTCGATTCCAGAAGGGTAAATACCATCAAAAATGTATTTAGATATATAGCCTGTATGCATGTGTGTCAATCGGATAGAGGGTCGATTTTGACTAGGAAACCATACTATATATTGTACAAATTTTTAGTTCAGGAACAGACCAATTGTTTCGTTCAAAACTTCTAAAGTGTATTCCTCAGCAATGTCGAAAATAGGAAACTGTGTGCATCTGGAATTAAAAATATTTACAAAATAACTTTGTTCGCTATCTAAAACAACGCACCCACATAAACAAACTGTGTACATGTTGTGGGTGTACAGAACTGTTCTGCCCCATGCGATGCGTTTGTACATATGTACGATGCAAACTGAATCTCCCCGCTTCCAGTAGAGACACACACAGACATATGTACAAGTGTGAGAAAGCTGTCCGTGCGATTTGTGTTAAGAAACACAACAAGGATATCTACGGAAAGAAACCAGTTTTGTGATTACTATTTTTTCTACATATCAGTGAATCTAGAATAGCTTGCAGATTTTCTAAAAGAAAAAGCCCTTTCCAGCATTCCTATCCAAGACAGTAATAAATAAAATTGGAACCTGTTTTTTTATTACAACTTTGACATTGCGTGGTATTTTGATATCACCACATCGACAGTTGGTCGCATCTCTGTGGGCAGTTTAGAACAAACGTGTATTGATATGCACTCATCAAGCAGGTACAGTACCTTTTTGGTGGGCAAAAGTTCTTATCTGATTTGGTAACTCAATGAATAATGCCGAAGATTTTCTCTGGTTCCAATTGGTGCTTACGAGTCTCACGTGAAACTGATGACTACACCGAAAACTATAGCATTTCCTGTCTGATCCCCACTAACAAATACAAGTTCCGTAGTTTTCACAAAAAACGGACCTGGTGAACTAATATTGCAAATGTTCAGGATGGCTGTATTGATTGCTGTGCATATTTTCAAGAACTACTTCAACTTCCAATTATGACAGTTATTGAATGGGTATTACGCCTTTAGAACGGTTCAATACTGAAACATAAATATGAGAGCAATATCATATGTATGTCTTATGTAGACTTGATCGTATGATCCAAAATTCAAACTGATTGGACGAACGGCGTATCAATTATATAAAATACGAGGGAAATACATACTAGTCCTATATCTAAATGTAAACCGATTTCGACAAAATTGGACAAAGACATCTCTAGTCTATGTCTGATATTTTGTATAATTATATTTTAGCGTTTTTATGTATTCAAAATGTTTCTTTGCGTGTGCAATATTAAGTTTTCTGACAAACTGCTAATTTCAACGTGCTTTTTGGTTGAAAGATATTTTTTTTCGCAAAACAGACTTTTTGCAAAAAAAAAAAAATACTCGAACCATTCGTATTCAAACGTATTCGTTTTAAATTTGGTTTTTATAAAAATGTGGAAAGCTTTAGTTTATTTTCGACAAGTTTTGAAATTTCAGTATTTCTATAACCATTATTTTGTATTTTTCTTTTTTTTTTTTTTTTGATTTCTTAAATGCAGCAAAAAAAAAATACTCGAACCATTCGTATTCAAACGTATTCGTTTTAAATTTGGTTTTTATAAAAATGTGGAAAGCTTTAGTTTATTTTCGACAAGTTTTGAAATTTCAGTATTTCTATAACCATTATTTTGTATTTTTCTTTTTTTTTTTTTTTTTTGATTTCTTAAATGCAGCAAAAAAAAAATACTCGAACCATTCGTATTCAAACGTATTCGTTTTAAATTTGGTTTTTATAAAAATGTGGAAAGCTTTAGTTTATTTTCGACAAGTTTTGAAATTTCAGTATTTCTATAACCATTATTTTGTATTTTTTTTTTTTTTTTTTTTGATTTCTTAAATGCAGCAATGTAAAACTTGCAGAAATTTAAAACTTTTTACTACGATAACTAATTTTCCCTTTTTGATATCGAAAAATATTACAAAACTAATAGATTCTTTCAGATTCTGGAACATACCAGTTGTTATATTAACAATATGTAATAAATATCTATATTGAATCAATTTTAATATTTAATACTTCTGAGCAAATAAAGTCTAAAGTGGCATTGTTTTCTACCAAGGACAACAATGAAAATACAAAATACACAACATTTTTTAAAAACAAAAATGAAATGTAAAATTGCCTGACTTAATTTCTTAAAATAAAAAGTCAATAATTTTGGTATTTTTTATAAATTTATTAGAACGGAGAAAGCTTCAAAGTATCAAAAAATTAAATTAAAAAGTAATGGCACGGTAGAATGAAGAAGGTAAAGTCATGCAATCGCATGTATATTTATAAATGCTTTGTACATAACCAAATCAGAGATGGAAACCCGATTGCCATGCATTGAAATTACTAAAAAATCAGAGATGGGTATGCTCATTTGAAATGACTTTACCTTCTTCATTTACCATGGGTAATGATACGAAACCTGGTTACGAAAACGTTTTTACAATTGTCATTCATTTTATTTTGAAAAATGATAGATGAGTCCCGTATTTTAAAAATTTTGAAACAGCCAACTTTTGAAATGAGCCAATGCTATTTCCATTTTATTGTTATTATTTATTTATTTGGTATGCACGCGAATATTTAAATGGTCAAGGGGAGAAATGTAAAATTTGCACCTAGAGAAATCTTGGCCCCGAAAGTACATGAACGGAAAACTCATGGTAAAGTCATACTCTCATATGTTTACAATTTATTCAAAATTATTCATTTGACAACATCTCATTGGAATAATGTAAAAACACAAATCTGAGATGGGAACCTGCTGATCGCTATGCATTGAAATTTTACACGGTAAATTAGAGAAAATGCAGAAATGACTTTACCTTCTTAATTTTACCATGGGAAAACTAATAAAAATGCCAAAACTAAATTGAAATATTGAACATTTGTTTTTTTTTTTGCGTTACTGAAAAAGACCAATAGTTGTTGTTTTCATTTTAAATAGCACGATTGTTTTTTTTTTTCATATCTAAAAATACATATGTAACACGCATTACCATCTAATTCCCATTTTTAGGTAGCTGCAACAAAAATGTCTACCGTCACTTTGAGCATAAATGAAACCAATACGGTCGTAGATAGACTGGTGAATTTCTTCGTAGAACACGAAGATCTGCGAACGAAAAACTGGTTCCTATCCAATGCACCCGGACCTCTGTTCACCATTTTGGCCGTTTATTTGTATTTCTGTTTGTATGCTGGCCCGAGGTGGATGCGTGATCGGAAGCCGTTCGAATTGAAGAATACTCTGCTCGTTTACAATGCTATCCAAGTAGTCCTAAGTTGGGTGCTGTTTTATGAGGTAAGCATTTGAACTGTCAACACGCAAGAGAGACCACTATTATTAACCGCGCATTGCTTCTGCCACATTCCATTGCAGGGTTACAAGGGCGGATGGGGTGGCCATTACAACTTCAAATGCCAACCCGTACTATATGCCACCGATCCAATCTCCATGAGGGTAAGTTATGGTTGTTACTGATTTACGAATCTCTCTAATTGGTAAATTCGATTCAGATGGCTCGAGCAGTCTGGTTGTACTACATTGCTAAGATTACCGAACTCTTGGACACAGTGTTCTTTGTATTGAGGAAAAAGGATCGCCAAATCTCGTTCCTCCACTTGTACCATCACACTCTGATGCCGGTGTGCGCCTTCATTGGTGTTAAATACTTTGCCGGTAAGTTCAAATCGATGGATCTGTTACAACTTCCCTTCCTAATTCGAACCTTAACATGTGCAGGTGGACATGGTACCCTACTTGGATTCATCAACTCTTTCATCCACATCATTATGTATGCCTATTACCTGTTGTCGGCCATGGGTCCCAAGGTGCAGAAATATTTGTGGTGGAAAAAATACATCACCATTTTGCAAATCGTAAGTACATTCCTCTAGTCCAATGTGCAGACGTTAGCTCCAAATCGGCTTCATTGTTGCCTTCTCCCATTTTCAGGTTCAATTTTTGATCATCTTCGTCCACACACTCCAAGTTCAATTCCAACCCAGCTGCAACTTCCCCAAGCCAATCGCTGCCCTGTTGACCTTCAATGCGGGTCTCTTTACATACATGTTCAGTTCTTTCTATGTCAAAAACTACAACAAGGAACAGAAGAGGGCATCCCTCAAGAAGAAAGCAGATGCAGCCGCTGCCGCAGCACTCAAACAGGACTAAAGACATTTCCGAACTAGCCTGTCTTCACATTCTTTTTCGGGATTTCGCGATGTTGTGATGCCGTCGCGTGCCTTTCGAGCTTCGAGTCGCAACCATCTATCTTTACTTCCGACCCCACCATCACTTGTGTTTTCTTTGGGCTTTAAGCTAAGGGTACTCCATTTAACTTTTCTCTTAGGTCTTTCAAAGAAAGGCTAGAAACAAGCTAAGAGAATTTGCTATTATTTTGTTTGTATGTATAGATGTTAAGATAATTATGTAGATCATTTTCTTTTAGGTTTAAGTTTTGTTGCTTTCCAGCCTTTAATTCATCATCTGGGGATGATCAAATCCTTCATTATGTAGAATATAAGACTTCCTTTTTAAGTATGTACTTGTTATATTTTAAGTAAACCAATGATGTCGATATACCAACTGAAGCCAACAATAAAAGTATATTAAGAAATTGAATCTGTTGTTTAGGTTCTTGTTCGACATTTGAAACAATGTTTCAGGTTCTAGAACTAGGGTATTTTAAAATTGGAGACATTTTTTTCGCACATGGTTTGATCGACATTAATTATGCTGGAAAAATGAACCGAGCCGTGAACCAAACCAGTGTCCAAAAAATTATTGTACAAAAGCGAAACCGTATTTCAATTAAAAAAATGTTCTGATTGGTTCAACAAGTTGCCTGCATTTTGTCAATTTTGAACCTCATAAAGTATATATTCTTGATCGGCATTCTGTTAATACAATTTTACTCGGATGTGTTCAGTGTGCACATTTTGGTATAGGCCCCATATGAACCAAACCAGTGTCTAAAAAACTGTTGTACAAAAGCGAAACCGTATTTCAATTAAAAAAATGTTCTGATTGGTTCAACAAGTTGCCTGCATTTTGTCAAATTTGAACCTCATAAAGTATATATTCTTGATCAGCATACAATTATATATTCTTGATCAGCATTCTGTTAATACTATTTTACTCGGATGTGTTTCAGTGTACACATTTTGGTATAGGCCCCATATATAAGCATGAAGCGCTTGCTTGGGGTGATCGACACTTGGGTATTTTTTAGTGCCAACCTTGCTTTCCAAAATTCTCCAGACACAATAGTCCAACGGATTGGTATCCGGAGATTTTGGTGACCATTGTGCGCTCATTTTGTAACAATTCTTGGGTGGCGCATGCTGAGTGCGGTGGTGCTGAGTCCTGTTGCTATGTCCAAGGTCTGCGACCAAAATATTTGCGTGCCCAGGGCTTTAATACACCCTCCAGAATATTTTTGCGATAATATTCGACATTTATTCTAATGCCACGGTCGATTAATACGACCGGAGAGCGACACCATCACCATGGCCGGCGCTTGTGTTCTGGTGGCCAATCGAAGGTGTACATTTTCAGCTGACCTCTTTGGCAAGTAAACACGATAATTTTGCTTGTTTACAAACTGGTGACAACTGACAACGAATTTTTTTTCTCTAATGATAGCCACTTGTGGTTTTCCAGCCAAATATAAAGAAATCAAACTATCACGCTTGAATTCCATCACGAATAAATTTTTTCGTGGAAAATTCTCACCAAAATGCTTTTGTACGCTTGTAAGCAATATAATGAGCTACCACTGGAAAAATTTTAACAACTGTCGGACAAGTCGCTTAGAAATGACAACAGTCTGAAGTTTGTTGCAGTCATCTTACCCTGTATATAGGTCCAATGTTTGGTATATACCCCTTATAACTGCACCTCCAGATATGCGGTACTTTTGATGATTTTTGTGTCACTTTTTTCACCGGAGTTGTTAAAAATTCTCCTATGATGGGTAATGGGTACTACCTCCATAGAAATTCACGTCTTAGTGTAGTCCCGATAACGGTACCTTCACGTATTCTGTATATTGATGATTTGTTTGGTGTTCGTAATAGGTACCTCCTTCTCTGGAAGAGAATTTGTTGTAACGGTCCACGTTTTCGTATAGCTGCATTTCTCAACGGATTTTTTTTACATTTTGCAATTTCCTTCCAAATGGTGGAAGGTATTAAAAGTTAGGCCCGGCCGACCTCAGCTACTCTTTTACTTGTTTCTCTTCCTCTTGTGTGGTAACATTTAATGTAAAGAAGTAAAAACGTATCCAATGTAGTGTGTTTCTCTCTCTTTGGAATGTTTTTGTGCGTCATTCGTATTAGATCCCAATTAGATCCAAAGTAGGCAAACATTTAAAAATACCCACATTAAAATTTTTTACGAATACGATTAAAAAGTAGGCACAAAATTAAAAATACCCACGATACATCCTGCGAGTTCAGTCCGAAATCTCAACCATGATATTTCTTCTGAATTTTCCATAAATATCATGTGATTTCGGTCCGACTTCAGTTCGAACGTCAGCAACAACTTCATTATTGCGTCCAACCCTTTGGTGCGAGAACACGTCCGCTCCTCATAACTTTCCGTCAGAAATTGAAATCGGACAGTTCGAACTTATATCAGACTTTGGTATGTTTCGTGCAGGAAACTTTTTTCGAAAAACATATGTCTAGTGTAAATATCAGACATATCGGTCCATAGTTTCAGGTTCCGCCGCCGGACGGCGTTTTAGAATTAGGAAAATTTTTAAATAAAATTTAGAAAAATTAAATAATCGGTTTACTAAAGTTTCGAGTCTTATATGTTTCCTGACGGTGTTTCAAAAACGCCTCTAGATTGTTTTTCTTTGGAAGATTTCGCTTTTGAAATTATGTCACGGAGCACTGTCTAAATATTGTCCTTAGCATTTTGACCAGGGACATTTGCCCAACATTTAAGCACTCCGTCGTGCTGTTAGTTGTTGTGGTCCATTTTACTGCTAAATATAATCGAATGGTCATGGAAAATGCTTGAATTCTTCCCTATCCTTAACTCTGTTCTCAGGCGTGTCGATTGGGTTCAATTGTGTGATCATGAAAATTTTCCTGTTGTTGGTTCATTTGAAACCCTAAATATTTTTCAATCATCTTTAAAAGCAAGAAGCCCGTCTGTTTCTCCAAAATCATATAGATGATTTGCTTGTCTACGATATTTGGCTATATTCGTCACCGAAATCAGTATAAAAAAGCCAGTAATTCCCCGTTGTGTATTTCAGATATCGCCTGTAAGTAATTTTGGTATTCTTTCACACAAAAGTAGTGGTCCGCTGTCCTTAACTCTAAATTTCATGCGAGATTTCGTGTTTTGGTTTCTATTTATCACCTTTATAACGACTGCAAAATCAGGAAGATTTTTAGTTGTTTGTTCCATTTCAACCCCTAAATATATTGCGGATATCTTTGAAAACAATAGGCCAAAACCTTCTGAGCCTAATCCTATCCTTATGAAAATTTTCGTGAGGATCGTACGATAATTGCAATCTGTATATAATATCACCAACCTATGTTACAAGGTGAAAAAAAAATATTACAATAAAAATATACACTTCTATATTATAATTAGCTTTAAAACATGGCATGCGATAAAAAATATGAAAAAAATGAAAAAAATTTCCCAAAATACTACAAAATCTATATTAACATCATTATTGGCATCTTTTTAGGCGATTTTTTAGATTTTATTCTTTTATGTCATGCCCTCTTGACATAAAAGAATAAAATCTGAATTGACAAAATTTGTCAAAATCGGTCCAGCCATTCAAGAGATATATGCATTCCAGCAAACATCCCTTCCCTTTGTATATGCACATTGTATATATTTCGCTATATATATCCGATATATTTACTATCGGCATCTACGTAACGGTCAGGATTGACCTGTTCATCTATTAGTGATTTCGACGGGATTAAAAATATTCGCGGTTTGATGGAAAATATGAAATTTATTTAACACAAATGTTATGGTCTATTTCACTCACTAAATATCATTTGATGACCACCAAAATTGGAAGGCTTCTGCCCAGCCCTAAGCTTTAGCCCCATGCTAACTTCCGCTTCGATTGGTCTATAATTGCGACCTGTAGAGCAACTGCAACATCAGGAAATTTTTCAGTTTCAACCCCTAAATATTGAGCGATCATCTCCAAAAGCAATAGGCTTCTATTCTGGGTCTAGCCCCACCTCCATTCTGAAGATCGGGCCATAATTGCGACCTGTAGAGTGATTACAAATTAACATGGACAGACGGACGGACATACATACATAGCTAGATCGACTCAGCCCGACGAGATACTTTCCTATGTGGGAAACCAATATTTCGAGGTGTTACATAATATTTGGCCCAATCAAACTTATAATACCCCCAATACAGTGTTGTAGGGTATAAAAACATGTGCAATTTTATATAAATATCATAAATATCAAGCTTAGGACACGTGTAAAACCCAAAAATATCCCTACGCTCCTTCTGACACCTCTCCCACAAGGGGTAAACATTTTGAATTATCAATAACACCAAACAATTTTGAAATAAGTCATCAATATTCTTCAAACTTCGTACTTCCAAATACTATTTCCAATATAAGACCAAGTATGAAGATGGAATATATGGGTCCACTCTGCCTGCTGCCTCTTTTGTAAATATATGGTCAACAGTTTAAAAAAAAACATCCTGGGCAATATTTTTTTGCTAAATTCTCAAAGCTCTAAGCAAAAACTCAATAAAGGAAATATTACAAATATCGTTTTTGTTTGTATATTTAATATATTTTTATGACAGTTATACTAAGACTGATTTTATAATAACATTGGAATTCGAAAATATATAAAATGTAGAATAGAATACCTTAAATTAAAAGAGACGATAATAGAAATATATTTTTTAATTGTTCGATTAAATTATTAATTCCACCATTGTTGCTGAGCGCGGTAAAGATACGATGACTTCGCCAAAAAAATACAATGAGTCATCTCCTTAATTGTTTCCTTAAAAACATAACATTTTATTCTTTGCTAGTTTATTGTAAAGTTGTTTCACTAGTTTTTCTTCATGTTTGTCCTCTGCCGTGAAGCCTTTAAGTGTTGCGTATTTTACCGGGAACGTAATTTTTATCAATTGAAGTTTCCTGCAAGAACATGTGTAAACATCTCTCATTTTGGGCTAGTGGGTGACCCGCGATTTTATTTATGAAAGCTTCTAAGCCTTTGCGACGTTCTTCGATAAAGTTTTCATCAAAAATTCCTTCATCGTTTCGGAAGGGCATTTGACGTTTCCATGCTTTTCCAGGTAGAGGGGGCACAACAATCTAATGAGCAACCAGGTTATATAATAAGGAATACCTCTATATAATTTACAAGGCAAGACTTACTTTGCTATCACGTTCCAGTTCGTTTCTTAGCCATTCAAAATCACTATAACGACGTCTTACGCTTGAATCTTTTACTTTGAAAACGGGAAGATTTGTCTGCAATTAAAGCAAATAACTCAATGAATTTGGTTCGGGCAAATAAGTGAAATTATTTAAAGTATTTAGGGACGTATCGACCACTGGCAATTTTGATGAGATTGAAAAATATTTTTTTATTTGTTTATTTTCATTTAATACAGTTACCCTATACAAGAAACAATTGATTTTCGGCAGTGAAATATATATTATATATTATATATATTTTATTTGTTTGTACATAATAATGAATTAAATTCATCACATTGAAAGGTTTCCAATTTCGTCTGAAATTAGGAATATTTGTATCAATCTTGGTAATTCTGTTACCCATAACTCGCTACCTATACATTTCAAAATTGCCTCTGACTTGGTATCTCAAATGTTGAGAATGTTTTTGCCTGCTGTCACATCTGGTCTTTTATTGCCTCTGATCGAGTCCAATGTTCTTTAAGTTTTTCATAATTTCTTAATTGTTGGTGTTATTAATATAATAATATCAATAGTAGTAGCACGTCTAATATTAATGTACAGCTTAGTTTCTCGATTCCCTTGCAGCTAATTTTGTATTTTATTTCTTCCCATCGGTCCGAATAATGGTGAACTCTTTGCGTGCTATGACGTAAAAGAATTATTTAAAATGTCAGACGCAACAAAATTCTTTGAAAGTGGCATAAGAAATGTAATGAAAAACTGAATGTCTGAATTGAATGTTTCTGATTAAGAACATTTGAAAGAAGCCTATGTCTAGGGAAGTATGTTCCTAGCTAAACGTTGGTATGTTAAGAGCAGCAGGAAACATCCAGGGTAAAAAACTAGAGAAGGATCTGAATACATCCATGAGCAAGTAGACAATGTGATTTGAATATGATATTGCCTTTATTTACACATTCACTCCAAAATTGATCATATATGTATATGAGCAACAATTTCACTGATCCTACACTGACGTAGTGCCAACACTTGTCGGTATTGATGACTAATATCTTTCATTACATTCATATATCATTTGTTTTCTGATATGCACCAGCATATTACACACATCTAAATAAATACAAATGCCGGTCAGCATAAAGCAATTTCGTTATCAGTACATTTCGGGGTTACTTTAGATTTTTTTTTTTTTTGCAGTACAAATCACAATTTTAAACAATGCACAGGCCGTTCTAGTTTTATCAAAATGGACGCCCATTAGCATGTGAAGGCAACATGTATATGTGTCTTTGTTGGAATAACTAGTCCATTGCCACTCCCCTTTCCTATGTGATTTCCCTATTGGCCATGGGGAAAGGATTAACTTTTCGACTTACCCTCATTTTGACCTCGTAATCTGTATAACGTTTTTTTCCCGCTGTCATAGATGTCTGTGGATTGACCACATCGATTTCTAAGAAATTTGCAGGGACAGCGTAAGCATCATCTAAAGTCTGCTTCTTCACATTGAGGCGGCGGGTTGCGTCTGTGGTTCCATCTGATTCCACCATCATATCGGTGATGCTTTCAAGGCTTTGTGTTTTTGCTGCAAACAATAAAGAAAGACAATAACAATGACTTGTTTCTACGATTTTTAGATATTGACTTGATTTGATTCAATACTTGTTCTTCCAGAAACTTCAAAAGTTGTAAATCGCGCACTGTAGGATTGCTCAAATACGCCTCTTTATTTTGCTTACGAATCAAGTATACATGTAAGCCTTGCTTATACAATTTTTCGCCACCAATATAGAATGACAAATTCACTGAAATATCTTCAAATTTAATTATACTATGACATACAGGCAAACTCAAGAAAATATCTCTGCCAGAGAATAAAGGCGAACGATTTGTTTTTGTCGGCGGTAATTTGTGAAACGCATTGGACAATGACTTCCCTGTTGTATTAGTTCTGTTCCTTGGCATAATAACAAGCTGTTTCAGCAAATCTTAAAAATCGGATTTAATGTCAACATTTCTTTACACTTTGTTGGCTATTAGTTTCTTTTGTTCTGCGATTTCAATCACAATAATGAATTTTGACACTAAATTTGATAGCTTAGAATTAGAGTGTTGTCGTCGTTTTAATGAGACGAAGCCTTGAATAAGAAAGAAAAATTTTCTAGCAAACAAAAACACTTGATGTTACCATTAATTTTAAAGTTATTTTATGCTCTGTTTCAGATCCTGCGAAAGTCTACTAGTTTTGCAATTTTCTTCGATATCATAAAGGGATAATTGGTTATCGTAATAAAAAATGTACATTCTTGCCGTACTGGAACAGAGCATTTATACTATTGAAGATTAATCCACTGGACTTAATTTTGATTACGGCCATGGTACAATATGGAGCTAGAACATAAATTCAGCCCTGAAGCTATACCCGCTTCCTGTTCGAATTATACAAATATATATGTACCCATGGCATAGTTAAAGAAGGTAGAACAAAGCTACCACCTAAATACAATTTTTTTTCTTTTGGTGCCCTTATTCTGTGTATATTGTTTTGAAAGAAAAATACAATAATTTGAAATTATTTCAAATTTGGTTGCCAATATAAGAGTTTTGTTAAAAATAAACAAAGCAAACTATTGAATATTTGAAAGTTAATTGACACTACAAGACTCCAGCACAGAGTTGCATTTTTCTAGTTTCTTTGAAGTTGAGCAACCTTTTTTATTGAGCCATGTATGCAACAAGAAGTCAAGCGCACTCAGAAAAAAATGTAATCAGCTGGTAGCTGCATCTTACATTTCTAATTTCCCATGGTTACAGCAGCATTTGATCTGACCAATTATAACGGTTAACCAGGGTAAAAATATTTTCTGTAAGATGTAGGCATAGCTAATTACCAAATTTAATGCCGAAATGTATCAAAATATAAACAAATAGCCAACAAATGCTTTGTTCTAGAAACTGTAAGAATCTACCTTGGTACAATGAAGAGAAGGTAGGTCAACTTTGAAAAAAAATATGCAAATAATGTCAGAATTACTATCAAAACAATAAAAAACAAACAACTTGTTGCATTGATTTTGAATAAATAATTTAAAACCGAGAAAACTGAATGAATGATCAAAATTTCTTTTCAAAATCATGTTCTATATATCTCTTATGGTTTATTTCGCGACAAAAACTGTAGATTTTGTCGATGCATTCGTTGCAATAAACATTTTGAAAACACCCGAATTTGAATATTTTCTGAAAATTTTTTTATTATTGAAAAGAAGACACACACATAAGCAAATGAAGTTGACATATTAAGCCAGAAAAATAAAAAAATTTAAATCATATGGTAGTTCTGCCCTACCTTGAATTCATTGTACCATGGAATCTACTATTTTTAATTTTTTTTCGATAACATAATGAGAACAAGTAAAAAAGCTGTAAGTTCGGCCGGGCCGAACTTTTAATACCCACCACCATTTGGTACAAATTTGGCAATTTCCAAAATTAAAACCCGTTAAAAATTCTGTTAAAATCTTAAAAATACCGAATGCTTATACGACGACGTGGGCCTGCATAGGCAACTTTTGTCATAAATTATTACAATATTTAAATGCGAAATTTGAAGAAAAATCTGTTTATAATGTAGCTAAAATCGTCAAAATACCGAATATGGGGGGTACCGTTATATGGGGGCTATACGAAGACGTGGACCTGCACAGACAATTTTCTGGCATGGGCTGAAGTATCCATTACGAACTTCACATACGAAATCTGAAACAATCCCTGTAAATAATGTCGCTAAAATCATTAAAATACCGAATATCGGGGGGTACCGTTATATGGGGGCTATATGAAGACGTGGACCTACATGGCTCATTCTTTGACTTTTGATGAAGTATCCATTACGAACTTCAAATACCAAATTTGAAACGATTCCGGTAAACAATGTCGCTAAAATCATCAAAATACCGAATATCGGGGGTACCGTTATATGGGGGCTATATGAAGACGTGGACCTACATGGCTCATTTTTTGATTTAGGATGTAGTATCCATTACGAACTTCAAATACCAAATTTGAAACGATTTCGGTAAACAATGTCGCTAAAATCATCAAAAAACCGAATATCGGGGGGTACCGTTATATGGGGGCTACAGGAAGACGTGGACCTGCACAGATAATTTTCTGTCTTAGGCTGTAGCATCCATTACAAACTTCAAATGCCAAATTTGAAATAATTCCGGTGAATAATGTCGCTAAAATCATCAAAATACCGAATATCGGGAGGTACCGTTATATGGGGGCTACATGATAACTTGGACCTACATGGCCCATTTACGAACTTAACCTGCCTACTGGGAAAAAATACATGTGTGCAAAATTTTAGCCTTCTATCTCAATTTGTTCGAAAGATAGCGTGATTACAACAGACAGACAGACAGACAGACGGACAGACAGACAGACACACAGACAGACAGACGGACATGGCTAAATCGTCTTAGAATTTTACGCTGATCAAGAATATATATACTTTGTTGGGTCTGACATGAATATTTCGAGGAGTTACAAACGGAATGACAAAATTAATATACCCTCCATAGTATGGTGGAGGGTATAAAAACGGTTCACATAGTAGAAACATTTACACATTACATTCTTGCAATTCTGGAATAGACCAAAAGTGTAAACAAATTTTGACATTCAATCTGGTTTTGCAAAATCTGCCAGATTACCTTGTTATTGCGACATGGTTGCAGGCAAGGTAGATCTAACAGGTAACCGCATCGGCGAATTGCTACAACAAAGCAACTTTTGTGGTCCCCTCAAATGTCAAAATTGGAATTCGAAAAACATAGATTCGCCATGACATTTATAGGTTGCGGCAAATTTGTTTCAACCAATCAGAAACGAGGTGTTTGTTTACATTTTATTTTGTGTGCATCTCGTCGTAAACGAACGTCGCAATAAAAGTTTTTATTGTAAAACAAACAAGAGTAAAATAAGTATTAATTGTAGTATTGCGATATTTTTTAAACCAAGAAACTTATAATGACTATATTTTACTGGTTTAAACCGAAAGTTTTCCGGAACTGCAAATGACAAGAGTCCAATTCTTGCACTACTTCCCGTGATGTGCTTTGGGAATCTTAGATGTTGAGACTAACTTAATTCTTAAAGCTGCACTCCATTCTAACCTCCTTCCTTCATTTTCTTTTAATTTTTTTACTGGTTTCACTCTTAACTTGCTCTTAAATTATTTGAAATATTATAAAAAGGTACTTTTAGGGAAGACAACATAAACAAATTTGTTGTTGCATTCATTTAGGGCGAATTCTTCATTACAACAATTTGTTTTGACATTTAATGGTGCCGTCAGCTGGACTGATGCGATTACCTAGTACATCTACCTTGGTTGCAGGCGTTACGTGCAGCCGATTCTGGAACTGTTCAATTCTTGTCGATAATAATACTTACAAATCGCAAAGAAGCTATCGGCAGTAGTATCGCTTGTTCTCTCTGTCACACAACAACAAAAAACAAAGGTTTCTAAAGATCGAAAACTGAATAATTTCATGTAATTTATTTCATGCATCTCAACTATACAAAACAATCAATCTCAGTCATATATAAGTGTCCTAAAGAATATTCTTCCTACTACAACTATGGAAACGTCCGAGTCCGTGGATATATCAGCTGCTTCCGACGCTCATGATTATCGGCTGCTAACGAAAGCTAGTGATGAATTCGATTTGTGTGTAATGAACGTAATCAAGCCATATTTTTTTACTGAATACGAACATCTACTTTTTAGGGGCAATTATGATGAATGCATCGGAATTCTGCAGCAGTTGGAGAATCTAAAAGGCAAAGATTGCAAAATTCACCACAACCAAATGGTAGCTAAGTTTTACAAGGGCAAGTGCAAGGACTACATGGATTTACTGAAGTCTTTAAAAGAGCTGAACAGTAGCGAGGTATGTATGAGTGTCGGTTGGCCAAGTAAAGAGCACTAATATGCAAGTAATACACTCTTAAATATATAATAACGGATTTAAACCCCCCAATTTCCTTCTAAGTTGAGTTTAGGGGATATGCTCGATCAAATTTAAAATGTTTATTATTTATTCATCATGGCTTATGTTGAGTTTAGGAACTATACTCGGATTGGCCTGAAATACGAAAAAATACGGGATTTATCTGCTTCTACTTACAAAATGGATTTCGGTTGATAGCTTATAGAAATACTTACCAATATACGTGTATTGTTGTACCGGAAATTTGGGAAGAAATCCAAAAAATCGAAAAATCGAAAATGGGCCATTATCGGATATTAAGGTTTATAAACTACATTATAGTCTACAATTTTGCCTTTCCAAAAATCAATGTAAATCGACCTCTTGTCGTTCCAAAGATATTAATTTTAAAAATGTCAGTTATGGAAAGAAAAGTCAGTTTATGTAATGGACATAAGAATTTTGCTTACTTGCTTTGTTTTGTTTCGATATGATAAAAATTTCAAAATGATCCGAGCATAGCCGCTACAATCAACTTGTTCCTTTCCTAAGATATTAGTCATAGAAATAATGATATTGAGATTTTCTCCTCTTATTCACGTCAAACCTTAATAATGTTGATAGTAGCAGGCCTGTGTTTAATATCTCAAACCGACTTCGTGATCCATAGTTCTACTAGTATTAATTTTTTTTATAAGTAAGAGGTCTTCCGTCAAGTATTGAGAATTTGTCTTCTGGCAAAATATATTGGCATATGTAGCTCCATTTGAGTAATAAAATATAAATAAAAACAGAGTATAATTTATTATATATTCCTATATTTGTTCCCATTTTCGTCTTGGCTTACGGTACGAAAATAATGATTTTCTTGTACTACTCGGTATTGGAAATAGCCATCTAATATGACAGGTGTTGTACTGATAATTTCAGTAAACAATTCACCTGAACAATGCTCTTGTTCGTTATCCTGCTAAATATCTATACGCCAGGGATATTAACATCATAGTATTTATACATTAGCAAATTTAGAAAAATGTCGATTAAAAAGATGTCTGTAAAACCTACCTAATATCCAACGTACCGTACAAAAATACTCATATTACATATTATGGAAATAATGTAGCACCATGAAATGTTTTCAGAAAGATTACATTCCTTCAATTTTATCCTTTTCCGGTTACCCATGAATCACAATAAGAACATTGTTGTTATACAAGTTGTCAATCGAAAAAATTTAATAAAAGGGTGTTTCATAAAAGTTATTTTAGGACAATGGTAAATTTAAAAATACCAGTGAACAAATATATTTTCTAAATAAAAGTCGTAACAAGAAGAGTGTCACTTTGAAGAAATATAGAATGCCTTCAGACCAGTTAAATTAGCGGTCATATTATCATTATCGTAAAAACCTTCACAATTTCTATATTTTGCTGGTGAAAGAAATGATTTTTCATCGAAAAACAAAGAGGTTTTAATATGCATTTTCAGAAATGGTTACTTTTGTATAAATATATATTTCTACCTTTCCTTTCAGACCTGTAAAAGTTTGTCTTCAAAAACCCCTAACGTTGCACCATCTTCCCCAATGCCATTATACAACATGGCGGTGATTTACTACCACCGACACATGTACCAAACTGCTATAGATACTTTGAAACCGGTTGTTGATAAAATAGAGACCTACGATTCGAATATAATGGCAATGGTTGGTGTTCTCATGTTACGTCTATTATTGGCTACTAATCAGCCCCGTAAAGCGTATTTTTTCCTGGAAGAGGTGCTGGGGCATTTGAGTATTAACATTACTACCATGGCAGCAGATGAAGGTAATATTCAAGAATCTGCGCCAAGATTGGAAGAGAAGTTTAACAAGCACTTGAAGTTGTTGTCGTTGCTAACGCATCTTGTAAATCGAAAGATTGTTCAAGTTCCGGAAGATGGGGTAAGCTCAATGAACTTTATATGGAAAATATATATCTATTTATGTTATAGTCCCCAGAATTTGCAACCCTTAAGGCACACCAATATTACATTATGAAGGACTTCCAAATGGCAGCTAAGCAATTGAAAAAAATCAATGTGGACTCCTACATGGGCGGGTAATGTGTACACACAAAAATTGTGCTTTGTCTAACTTTCAGAACTCCATATTTATTTTTAGCATTTACAATCACGAATTGAATACTCTTATAGCCAACAATATGGGTGTGATACATTTGCGTGTGCGTCACTATGCCATTGCAGCGAACTTCTTCCAAAACGCCATAAATTTTGATAAGCATATAGCGTCGAATCTACGCAGTGCCGAATTACACGATATGTGCTCAGCTAAATCGTGTGAAATATTATATAACTTGGGCATTGCGATGTTGCATTTAAGAAGACCGAAGGAGGCTTTTCAATGTTTTTTGGTGCCTTTAAAAACCTACCATAGTAATCCTCGACTGTGGTTTAGAATTGCCGAAGCTTGTATAATGGAATACGAAATGGTAACAAAATGAAATCTCGCCAATGTACTGTATGATATAATTGTTCTTTTTAGAAGAGATCAATTGATGAGAAAAGTAGGATACGCACGGAGACAAGATCCTTATTTTCGAATAGGATAGACTATTCGTAAGTTGATACCAATCAGTGTTGCTTATATTCCTGTTACATTCTTTATTTTTTTATTATTCAAAGGCAAAGTAGTCAATCTGCTGCGGTGCCAGAACCAACAATGCCTTTTGCGGCTTTAAGCTTGCGTAATGCGTTAACTTTAACACGGGTTTACATGGCTCAACTCTATACACCTTCTGTATCTGAAGAAATTAATGAGACGACAGACAGCCAAGAATCCAGTTGGCAAAAGACAAGGGACAATAATTTCTGTAATCCATCAGGACCTGTAACAAGAGAATCTTTCGACACAATGTTATCATCCATATACGCAGCCTATAGTTACGTGAGCTTGCGCCTAGGTGATTACGTTACGGCATTAGAAATGGCAGAAGAATTATTAAAAATGGAAAATCTTTCAGATGCTCATAAGTAAGTAAGAAGCCGACATCAACGGTCAAATGATTGCAATAGAATCAACAATATATTTATTTTAAGAATGCTGGCTCATATGTATGCCGGCGAGGCATTTATAATGATGGATAATTTAGCCGATGCTCGACCACATTTGGAGCCTACTTTTGTTTCGGATTTAAATACGTTCGATTTCGAAACTAAAGACTGGCAAGTCAAATCTTTAGATGCCGCTCAAAACGTAGTTCGATATAACTTGGCCGTAGCATTGACGTTGCAGGGCGAACTGGAAATGGCGCGAAGTCTTCTAAATACATGCACCCATCCCATAGTTGCTCAAAAAGTTTTTAATTTGAAGAAAACTCAAGCAGCTATTATTGCATCTACGATGCAACAGCAAACCACACCACTAAGAGCTATGTAAAAGAACTTAAAAATAAAGTATTTTACGTTGCAACTCCATATGGATTTTAATTATTGTAAAGAAGTATTAGCGGATGGATCCTAAGCTAATCAGTATGTTGATACAATCATAACAACATTATGAGTCAATAAAAACTCGATGATGTGTGGGGGGTATAGATTTCTATTAATACCGAACTGTTCAATCAAGTGTTACTGCCTGAAGGCGATTAGATAATCTTTACTCTCTTAAATAGTGGCGGTGATACTCTGGTCCGCATGCAGTCTTAACTGAGGCATTGTACAATGAAGACATTTCTCGTTTTGTGTTGTTTGGCATTTGCAGTTGCAGAGTTTGCAGATTCTGAAACTAAAGGCAGTACTCCTTATGTCGATATTCCGTTAAAGGCAGTTAAATCCTCGGTAAATAAAGTGTGCAATAAAGTAAGAGCAGGGCAATGTATACGCTAATTTACTTTCTAACATTTTAGGCGGATCGTATACGTGAACATGGATATCCGGCAGAGTCTCATTTTGTTGAGACACCGGACGGTTATGTCTTAAACGCGTTCCGGATTCCCTATTCGCCTAAATTGAATAATGCTGGCCAAAAGAAGCCAGTTGTATTTATTCAACACGGCCTATTCGCTTGTTCAGATTGCTTCATTCTCAATGGCCCCGACAATTCAATAGCGTATAACTTTGCCGATAACGGTTATGATGTTTGGCTTGGAAATGCCCGTGGCAACATATACTCCCGCAACAACACGAAGATTTCCTTAAATCATCCCGACTTTTGGTCGTTCAGTTGGCATGAAATCGGCACAATTGACATTCCCACACTGATCGATTATATACTTGAAGTGACGGGCGAGTCGAAGATACATTATGTTGGCCATTCTCAGGGCACAACAGTGTTTTTCGTTATGACAAGTCTTAGGCCTGAATACAATGAAAAAATTAAGACAGCCCACATGTTGGCACCGGCTATTTTCATGGGAAACTGCACCAATGGGCTAGTTACAAGCTTGGCACCTTACGTTGGGAAGCCCGGAAAAGGTAGTGCAATATTGGGAAACCAAGAGTTTGTATTCCACAACAAGTATGTACAACGTGCATTAGATACGGCCTGTGGTAGTAACCCAGCATTCCCCAAGTACTGCAGAACTCTATTCTTCCTGTGGGCTGGAAATGAGAATACCAACTTGAATACGGTAAGTTGTAAATAACCATCGTTAGCGAAACTAATTTATATGTTCTTCATTCAAAAGACACTTCTTCCCCAAATTGCCGAGACCCACCCAGCTGGCATATCTTCTAACCAAGGCATTCATTATATACAAGAATATGTTAGCAATGAGTTCCGCCAATTCGATCATGGTCCAAAGAAAAACAAGAGAATATATGGCCAGGCTGAGCCTCCAGCATATCCTCTCGAAAATATTACGGCTGAAATGTACGTGTACTACAGTTTGGCAGATGCCTCAGCGGATCACAGAGATGTGGAACGTCTGCCATCATATCTATCCAGCCTGAAAAACATGTACTTGGTTGAAGATAGTACTTGGGACCACATTGATTTCATTTTTGCACTCAAGGTTAAAGGTACCATCAACGATAAAGTTATAAAGTTCTGCAACGATTACGAACTACTTCACCAATAAAACCAGTTACTTTGAACTGAATTATATCAGAAGATTTTCCATTATTGGTCTGATATCCTTTTACTTCTGCTATGGCTGCTAATCAAATGGCAAACAAAACTACTTTTCCCAATGTAAACACTATTATTTGTAAATAAAGTAGAATCAGCAAGGAATTATATACTAATGTCTCATTTTAAACTAATGCTCTTTAAGCAATGTGTCATAGATATAGCTTTCTGGCATTAACACTTGTCTGCAATGACAGATCGTCCATTACGTTATAATTTCGACGATTTAACAAATATTTGTAAAAGCTTTTGTATAAGACCCCCTAAATTTTTTTTATCAAATTATAAAAATGGAAAGAATATTTGTTTTTAGAGATAATCAATTTTAATATTTTTTAATTTACAACTTTAAAAAATATTTATAATCTAAATTTAGATAAGACTAAGAACATTTCATCAATCAAACACTTTAAAATGTTGACAATGGAGCGTCAATAAAGAGCAAAAATAGTTAGTTTTCAAGCTATATGCAAATAGAGTTACGAGTCTTCGATGTTATTCCCCACCACAGTGCATTTTTTTATTTTTTTTTCAAAATTATATTCAAGGCCTATAAATAAAGGTCGACCAGGAATACTAATTTTGACAATAAACTTAGTAAATTGAAGAAAGTCGAATTCAATTGACATATACTATCTGATGCAAATTATTGTTTTAATTTTGAATCATTCGACATTTTTTTGCTGAATTTGGAAAAAGTTAGTTATGGCTATGGTACAATAAACAGATAAGGTAAAGCTACCAGCTGGGTAGTGGGTCCAACTTCTGCCTATTTTGTGTATGTATTTACTATTTTGAAAAACAACAAGTAAAAAAGCATCTAAATTCGGCAGGGCCGAACTTTTAATACCCTCCACCATTTTGAAGGAACTTGAAACATTTTCAAAAAATTCCGTCTAAAGAAACAAACGTTATATGGAGGCTATAGAAGACGTGGTCCGGCATAAAAAGGTAAGGTTACGCAATTATATGTTTACAATTTTTGTTCAAAATTATTTATTTGTCAACATCCCATTGTCAAAATATATATTTATAAATCTTTTGTGCGTAAAGATGGGAACCTGTTTTCTATGCAGTAAAATTTGGCATAGAAAATGCAGAGAGGGATATGCTTATTTGCATTTGGTCGTACACCTACATAAAGAGCTTTTTTAATGGCTACGTATTATGACTGGAATATTTTACAAAAATAATAAATAATCTATTAATTTGGACATTGAACATTTAGGTCAGTCTATAAGAATAACCTGTTGAAAAATATTTCCAAGATCTTCTCAATATCTGCTACATGGATTATGTTTAAAAACCAAAACTTACGCTGACAATTCCATATTTCATAGTTCACATTTCAATTCCATATTTCATAGTTCACATTTCATATGGGCTAATATTTTATATTATCCTTGTAAGAGGGACGGGACAGAAGGAGATGAAGGGGTTTAAGTAAAATAAGTAAAAATACAAAATAAGTAATTCCCTCAGGAAATGGTAGGTAAAATTATACACGAAAACATGAACCTACATAGACTTTATTCTACCACAAGGGGAAGAACTCGTTCTAAACTCTAAGTACAGAATTTTAAGCTTTTGCGTTAGAAACTGTGGCTAAAACATTCAAAACTTCGAATATGGTGCAATTAGAAAGTAGAACGGCTTCGTAAATCTACAGAGATATAACCCTGAGGCTATGCCCGCTTCCTGTCAAATTTGCATGCAAACAAGTTGTTTTCATTCATTCAATATTTTCTTAATTTTTAAAATCAGTTAGACAGCGCGAAAATTGTATTAAATGCCAGGATTTTCTTTCAAAAATATGATCTAAATAGTTCGATTTTTCAATTACATGTCAAAACTGGCGAATAGCTTCAATGTGTGTCGGGCAATATACGCGTCTTCCAATCATTGATTTTGAAAATATTTTCTGTTTATTTTTCAAAACAATAAATATATACACAACATTGGCAGAAGTCGGACACACTTAGAAAAAAATTGTAATCAGCTGGTAGCTATTGTACCATGGGTACAATTATATGGATACTATATGGCCTAACTCATCTGTGAACTTGATCCGCCTTCAGACAAAAGATAACTCCATGTTAAATTTTAGCTTTCTATCACATACCTCTAGCGTGACGGACGTGATCACATAAATAATTTTGCTATGCTTTCAGCTTACAATTGATTTATGCTATTATTATAGTCAATAACGTAACTATTCGGAATATATTCGCGAATGGGCACAACATTATTTGACTTTTTCCAAGGACCGATATTTCCTTGGACTATTTTCACTACCAAAGGATCGGGTGTAAATTTGATCGATTTTCTGAGGTGTGATGGGCATGAAACATGCAACTCTTCATGTGTGACCTGAAGCTCATTTTTCTTTCAACATCACCGTAGGTACCCGTAAAATAGATAGGTTCCCAGCCATAAATCATTTCGCATACCCAAATTTTCTGTTCGCAGGAATACAACAATAATTTTGATCGATAATACAATAAAATCATATTACCCCTCATGGACGGGGATTAGAATTGAAATGTTGAAGCACTGACTTGAGTGGTAAATTTAAATCTTATCTCCTGATAAGATTATCCGTGTCGGAAGGTGTTTTGGCACACGAAACATTGATAAGTAGCGGTTCCAGCGTCAGAACCTCAGTGTATGCTAAACGCGCGGAACGACAATGCCGAAACAGTTGTTGATCTTCGCTTTATTGGTGGCTGCAGTAGCAGCTGAAGTAGACGTCGATCCCTACATTGATATTCCCTTTAAGCCGGTGAAGACGTCGGTAAGTGATCAGATTGGACAACATTGCCTATTAATGCGAATATACTGCAATTTTTTTGTAACAGGCTGACCGCATAAGGGAGCATGGATATCCCGCCGAGTCGCACTATGTCGAAACTCCTGACGGCTATGTTTTGAATCTTTTTCGTATACCCTACTCACATAAGTTGCAGAACGAAAACACCAAAAAACCGGTTGTACTAATACAACATGGTCTCTTCTCATGTTCGGATTGTTTCCTCCTCAATGGCCCGGATCACGCCCTGGCATACAACTTTGCCGATAGTGGCTTCGATGTTTGGTTGGGCAACGCTCGCGGCAACATATATTCGCGAAACAATACCAAGATTTCAATAAATCATCCCAAATTTTGGGAATTCAGCTGGCACGAAATAGGCAGCATAGATATTCCTGCAATGATTGATTACATTTTGGAGACGACTGGCGAGTCAAAATTACACTATGCTGGTCATTCGCAGGGCACAACGGTGTTCTTCGTCATGGGAAGCATGAGACCGGAGTACAATGACAAAATTAAGACAGCCCACATGTTAGCTCCGCCCATATTCATGGGCAACGTCACTGACGGTTTGGTCGTAGGTCTGGCCCCTTATGTTGGAACTCCCGGAGTGGGATCCGACATTCTAGGCTCCCAGGTGAGTAATAAAGTAGATAATGTTATTTCTTTGCAATCTGATAGCTTGGCAATATTTGTTATGACGATCAAAGTCGTCATGTCCAAAAGCTAAAGAAGCCAAACGATCAGTAAATATTAGGTGTGTCTGGTTACCCTAAAATTTGTAACAATTGTTACAAATTGTTACTGGAAGCCGTCTGTTAACCCGAAAGTTCTGCAAAAGGGAGCGGTTGGGGAGAGAAATGTTGACAGTTCTTTCAGTGAGAGTTTGCAAATTCTTGCTGGACAAATTTCTTCTTGCAATCACTTGCAACTCTTCTTCTTCTCATTTATCGACATTCAATCAGATGTTTTCTATTGTTTGTTTATTTATTTTTGTGCTTTTAATTTGAAAATATTTTTTTGGAACTTGAAAGACTAATTGTTTTTGGAGAAAAACTTTAAAAAATGTGGAAAACGTAAATATTAATATGTAATAAGGAAATAAAAGACTATTTCCAACATTTTTATTTAAAAAACTTGTAAAATTAGTATTGCTTCCTTTGTTTTAATTCTCCTTATGGGGGACAAATTGGTTTGTTTTGACAAATCAGCTGATTAGTTGCAAGCTTCTGCAGGAATACCGTCTGTTTACTTTTCGCATTTTCCTTGCAAAAGAGAATAAAACTACCTTACTCTCTCAGAAAGAAGTTACTGGACAATTCCTGCTGGAAAAGTAACCAGACACACCTATTGCAAATCTGTATATTACGTATATGACTCTGTATATGACTCTGTGACGGAGAGTCATATGATCTAAAGTCAATGGAAGATTTCATTCGTAATTTGATAGCACTAGATTTCTTGATAGATTGTTAGATTTCTATTCAATAATGAACTTAGGTTACAACTAGATGAACGTCCTCGAACAAAACATGTAACGCATGGTATTAATTTATACATTCACGATTGCAGGAATTCATTCCACACAACTACTACGTACAACGACTGCTCGACACGGCCTGTGACGGCAGCCCTCTTTTCTCCAAATACTGCGAAGTACTCTTCCTCATGTGGGCCGGTACCGATAATACCAATCTTAATTATGTGAGTTTCATTTTGTTATTCAAGTCGTACGATTGCCTTCGATTATTAATTTTTTACGTTTCTCTCTCAGACAATATTACCCCAGCTGGTCGAAACCCATCCAGCTGGCATCTCATCCAATCAAGGTATTCACTATATTCAAGAACATGTGAGCAATGAGTTCCGGCAGTTCGATTACGGCTACTCCAAAAACATGAAAAAATATGGACAAGCTGAGCCACCAAACTATCCTCTCGAGAATATATCTGCCAATATGTACATATACTATGGTATGGCCGATGGCTCTGCCACTTACATGGATGTCCAACGTTTGCCCGAACACTTATCCAACATTAAATACTTCAAATTGATAGATGATCCTAATTGGGGCCATCTGGACTTCATTTTTGCAAACCAAGTCAAAGAAACGATTAATGATCCAGTCATTGGATTCTGTATGGAATACGAAGCTTCTAATGCAATGCGAGGTTTATAAAGAACATAGACTACAATAAAATATAAAAAGTGGTAAAAACTTTTCAATTTTTTTTAACAGCATTACCTACAATTCAACGTAGCGTACACAAATATTCAATTTCACCACTATGTAAAATGATTTGTACGACCGTATTACCCAAAACGCCACGTCCATTTCTTATAAATGAAAACGTTGTAAAATTTGATACTTTTTTCAATTCCAAATTTTCCAATTACAAACATTCACATGTTTTGTATCATTCATTTCTATTTTTAATATAAAGCAGAAAGTGGTACGAACTACAAAACTAAGTTGTAAAATGACAAATACTAGCCCTGTTGTGCGATTGTCTTCATTCACATTTTTTGAGTTACCGAAAAAACGGTAAAATTAAAATGTTTATAATTTCGGCAATTAAGTAACTTGTTCGGCAAGTTAACGGCCAAAATTAAGAAGTCACTAAGTCCTAACGATTGCAACAGTGCTGCCAACTCTAATTTAGACTTTTCATTCATAATTTTTTGGTATAAATTGTACCGATATTTGTCGGTAACCCAAAAAATGAGTTAGAGAATGCCACTACTGATCTAGACTAGGCGAGACTTTTATCGTTCTCTTTTAAAAATGCCTTATGGAAATTTGTTTTTTAATTGCAATTGTAAAACAAGTAACAAAATAGGAAAACACGTAACAAAGCATTTAACATCCTCCACCATATGGGAAGAAAAAAGAAAATCTACTTATATTAAAAAAAAAAAAAAAAACATTTAAAATTTTTTGACATATCAATGCTCCCAAGCGTTGATGCATCTACCTGTATTCTTCTGCCATGCATGGTACAATAAAACTCATTCAAAACTGTCAAATCTGTGCATATTTTTTTGACGTTACAAAGGTACTATCATGGTACAATAAAAAGGTAAGGGAGAGCTACCAGCTGATTACAATACTTTTCTAAGTGTGTCCGACTTCTGCCAATTATGTGTATGTATTTATTGTTTTGAAAATGTTTTGATATTTTCAAAACCAATGAATGAAATACACGTACATTGCTGCTCGCGCATTGAAGTTATTAACCAGTTTAGCCATGAAATTGAAAGATTGTACAGTTTGGAAATGAGGAAAATGTGAAAAAAAATGAAAACAACTTGTTGCATATAATTTGGAATGAGTCTGACAGGAAGCGGGCATAGCCTCAGGGCTGTATTTCTGTACTTTTACGAAGCTGTTCTACCTCCTTATTGTACCATGGGTACTATAATAAGAAAATGTACGCTTGGGAACATTGATTTGTCACCATTTTTAAAATGTTTGTGCAAAAATAAGCCGAAATTGTGAGGAAATTCCTTTCCCAACAAATTGCACCTCGAAAGAGAAATAAATAGTTTTTGCTAATATGTTCGGAATACCCATGGTAACATTAAGAAGGTAAAGTCATTTCAAATAAACATTTTCTGTAATTTACCTTGTCAAATTTCACTGCATAGAAAGCATGTTCCCATCTCTGATTTGTGTATGCATGGATGGTTTCACAAGTATAAATCTTGACAATAGGTGTGTCTGGTTACCCTAAAATTTGTAACAATTGTTACAAATTGTTACTGGAAGTCGTCTGTTAACCCAAAAGTTCTGCAAAAGAGAGCGGTTGGAGAGAGAAATTTTGACAGTTTATTCAGTGAGAGTTTGCAAATTCTTGTTGGAAAAATTTCTTCTTGCAATCACTTGCAACTCTTCTTCTTCTCATTTATCGACATTCAATCAGATGTTTTCTATTGTTTGTTTATTTATTTTTTTGTTTTCAATTTGAAAATATTTTTTTTGGAATTAGCAAGACTGATAGTTTTTGGAGAAAAACTTTACAAAATGTGAAAAACGTAAATGTTAATATGTAATAAGAAAATAAAAGACTATTTCCAACATTTTTATTTAAAAAAACTTGTAAAATTAGTATTGCTTCCTTTGTTTTAATTCTCCTTATGGGGGACAAATTGGTTTGTTTTGATTTGATCAGCTGATTAGTTGCTAGCTTCTGCAGGAAAACCGTCTGTTTACTTTTCGCATTTTCCTTGCAAAAGAGAATAAAACTACCTTACTCTCTCAGAAAGAAGTTACTGGACAATTCCTGCAGGAAAAGTAACCAGACACACCTAATGAGATGTTGTCAAAGGAATCATTTTGAAAAAATTGTAAACATATGTTTGCATGACTTTACCCTCTTCATTCTATAATGGCAGTACCCTTTCATATTTTTTACATAAACTATTATTGTGCCATGCTTTTTTCTAGCCTTTACCAAGGCCTATATAAGGTCGGTCCAGAAGGTTAACTCGTTCTATGAATCTGAAATCAGTCGACATTTTTCATATGTGTAAATACATAGATTTATATGATTTTTTACCACCTTGATAGTTGGTTGATTTTAAGATATAGACCTGGCGTATTTGAGAAATGCGGACGTACAAAACATTTTACCATTATTTGAATATTTGTGTACGCTACGTACAGTCATGGTAACATTAAAAAGATAAAGTCATTTCAAATAATAATGTCCATTTCAGCATTTTCTGTAATTTACTTTGTCAAATTTCACTAAACAGAAAAAAGGTTTCCACCTCTGATTTGTGTATATACAATGGACTCATAAATATACCTTTTGACAATTAGATGTTGTCAAATGAATAATCTTGAAAAAATTGTGAACATATGATAGCATGACTATACCTACTTGGTTCTACCATACGTCTAATTTTAGACAAAGTAGTTACAAAAAATATGTCCCTGGTCTTTGTTTTTATTTTTAGTACATAGATGCCGCGAATTTGAAACCATAAACAATATTACATCCATTGCCACAGAATATTGAAAGATGATTGAAATTATGAAAAAATGAATATATGTAAGCATGTTAGCATATTATGGTAGAATAATATAGGTAACAGCAAGTGTTGTTGTACAACAATCGTAACAACAACCACATACAAATTTGTTTGTGTACGTAATACAAGTGTCAGAGTTATGTGTCCAAAATGTAAACAAAATAATTAATTTTCAATAAATTATTTTAATTTCAAAAATATAAATTTTTGGAATTTGGATTTTTAAATTTAAAATGCAGAAGAATAGTTTTTTAAAATATTTAATTTTAATGCTTTCACATCATTCCCCTGAATGTATAGTTGTTAGCTTTTGGTCCTAATCTCTCAACACTTCAAGCAATCGCAAGAAAATCGCGGAAAAGGCAACATCACTTTCAAGCTGAGACCAAACAGCATACATACATAAAGTATTCTACATTTTGCAATTTTAGGAAACATTAAATATACGAATATATTATCTTAAGTGATGTCGCTGTTCCTTAACCCCAAAAAAAGTTCCCAAGCCATCGTCTTTGGCGTTTTGTTAAGTACAACGGTGATTTTTTCTATTATTAGGCAAAACATATGTTCACATTGCCCAAAAAGGGTATATCTATTGTATATCAAGAAATCGAATTAAATCACAAAACGTCATGTCGAGTTTGACTATACTATTACTAAAGAGTCAAATCAGCTGGGACCTGCTGTTACCTGTAATAATTATACCTTGGGACAATATTTACCTATTGTGTGACGAAATAACTTTTAAAGATATACAGCACAGGATTTAAGAAAAATATCTTCACATTTCATTCAGTTTTCCTTTTTTTTGACAAATATAAAATAAACATGCTGCATTTGTTTTGATAATAGTTCTGACGTTGCACAACTCTTGTACAACTTTCCTACATTGTCTTTAATAAGGTCGCACAAAACGCGAATTCTAGATATATTCCTCTGTCTGCGAACATTAATATAGTCCACGCTGACGTTTATTCTTAAATAAATTAATGGGTTTCTTCCTTTTTGGCGGATTTTTCACAAACAAATAACCCTATTAAATTGGTGACACAGTAAGGCCAGCTGGAACTAGAATGTTGTTCCATGAAAAGAAGTAATCGAAAATATTTTTTTATAAAATGTTTAATTTGGCATTTCTTCTGCAAATGAACGAATGTTTCGTTGATCTTATTTATTGCCTCTTGGTTTGTGGCATTTTGGTAAGTACTTACTTTATATTTTGTAAGTAGTTACTGGTGTAAAAATGCACTCGTAAAATCCATGATGATATTTTTCTGCGAGCAACTGGGTATTTAAAAAAAAAAAAACGACGTTTCATTAAGAATTGGATTGTATTTTGCATTGGACCTTTGTTTCTGGAATGTAACGTTCAAAAATCCAGCAAATGCAAAGTACTTCGGGGCTTCGATAAGGAAGGGAGAGACGACTTATGGCGATAACATTCTTAACATTAGTCGCGGGGCTGTTGACAATAATCTGCATATCCCCCACCCTCTTCACAGCAAATCCGATTATTTTTATTGCTGTTTATTCTTGATTTGCTTGATAGGCAAATGGTATTTATAGAGGTAGCACTAGATGTCGAATCGTTTAGTATTCTTCGATTGAGTATCTAAAAATGAACATATTTTGCGGACTGCTGGCTGCTTTGCTACTCCAGAGTGCAGTTGGACAGCCAGTTATCGGGCCTGAAGACGATAGATTTTTGCGAAACACTGTAAATAGCACCTGATTCGTACTTTTGTTAAACAATTTAAGAATTCTTTATCCTTGCGTAGGCTGATCGTGTCAGGGACCATGGCTATCCGGCCGAAGTTCATATGGTCGAGACAGAGGACAATTATGTCATTGGTATGTTCCGTATACCCTATTCGCACAAACTTCAAAACCAAAATGAGAAACGGCCGGCTATACTGCTGCAACACGGCCTGACCTCCTGCTCGGACGCTTGGATCCTCAGTGGACCGAACGATGCGCTGGCGTTTCTTTTGGCCGATGCGGGCTATGACGTTTGGATGGGCAATGCTCGTGGCAATACCTATTCCCGCAACAACACCAGACTTTCCACAAACCATCCCTACTTTTGGAAATTTAGTTGGCATGAGATTGGAGTCATCGACATGGCCACAATGATCGACCACATTCTGGAAACCACGGGTGAGAAGGCTATTCACTACACTGGACACTCTCAAGGCACAACGGTCTTCTTTGTCTTGATGTCGGAGAGGCCGGAGTACAATGAGAAGATCAAAACTGCCCACCTGCTGGCGCCTGTTGCCTTCATGAGCAACATGAAGACAATTTGGGCCAAATATACCAGACGGTTCATTGGCCGGCCCAACACCTTCACGCGGTTGCTTGATACCACGGAAGTGATGCACTCAACATTCTTCCAAGAACTCTACAACATATTGTGCACCAATCACCCGGTCGTCGAATTCATGTGCACTAATATATATTACCTGTTAAATGGCGAGACCGATGGCGGCAACATGAATAAAACGGTATCGGCACAGCTTGAAGAAACACACCCCGCCGGTGCCTCATCTACCCAAGTCCTACATTATATGCAGGAGTATGAGAGTGGGCGCTTCTGCCAGCTCGATCACGGCCCGGTGAAGAATCGCAAAATGTATGGACAGGACACGCCCCCTGATTACGATGTCAGAAAAATAACAGCGGATCTCTACTTCTACTACAGCGATGCGGACACGTTGGCTGACGTCATTGATGTGGAATACTTGGCAGCGAAGTTACCCAAAATGCCCACAATGACTCATTTTCCCGGCGACATAATAACCCATGGCGAATTCGCCTGGCATATTCGAGTAAAGGAGCTGATCAACACACCGATTATCAGTGCCTGCAATGCCTACGAGGAATCGAATCGAGTTGATCACTTGGGCGACTAAATCGAATTTTGAGCAAACAATAAACCAATTGCTAATCTCGTCGTTATCGACGCATCAAATTTTAGATTAGGTCAGTTGTGCCATTAGAAAATGTCCGAAAAAATATCAATGGCAAATGGTATTCACATATGGTATTATCTACCAGAGTTTTGAAAGAATTTGAATTGGAATAAAGTCATTATTCTTAAAGTGAAATCGACCAAAAAACACTCTTGTCTAAACTATATTCACAAAACTACTTTTGTGGAGCCATGTTAACCAGACTTGGTGTGTCACACTTGGCAATAATATCTTTGGGAAATCTAAAGGCGCTCTTAGAGAAATGGCATTAAAGCTTCTAATTGAGAGTGGTATACAAAACTTGTAAATAAGATTCTAAGTTCGGCCGAGGCGAACTTTTGGTACCCACCTTTGAGAATATGCGTTTCGAACTATTTTTGACAGTCTTGTGTTTGCCAGCAGAACTTAATTGTAATACAGGATTTTGCTATCACGAAACTTGGCACGTTTCATACGCAATGAAATACGTGTACATTTGTGGCTAATAAATGAATCTTATTGGAATTTGTACGAAAGGTATTTGTACGTTAGGATTAATAATAATAGAAGACATTATTGTTTTCCCCCCCAAAGAGTTCTTATCTTTCATATAAGAAGTTTCATTCATGTTTAGAACTTTTTGTTTAAACGTTGACAGTTTACCATGGTGAAATTAAGGAGGTAAAGTCATTTCAAATAACCATTGTCCTCTTTGCTTTTTCTGTAATTTACCTTGTCAAATTTCACTGCATTGAAAGCAGGTTCCCATCTCTGATTTGTGTATGTATGGACAATGAGACGTTGTCAAATGAATAATTTTGAAAAAATTGTAAGCATATGATTGCATGACTTTACCTTATTAATTCTACCATGCATTTTACACATATTTTTGTATTTTTCTGTTTTTTGAATTCGGAGGGAGAGTAACTTTGTCGATACAAAAATTTTGATAAAAATTTCCTCTTTTGTTTCCAGTTTTCTGTCGACATTCCATCTCGCGGACATAAACGTAACCCAAATGGGATAGACAACCAAATTTAATTTCGTTTGAATGCACATGCGCCATTCAACATTATATCTTTCAGTCATACCGTTTGTACACCTCGAAATATATATTCTTGGTCAGCATAAGATTCTATGTCGATTTAGCGAGTTGTCCATCTGTCCGTCTGTGGAAATCACTCTAGGTTCCGAACGAATTGAAGTAGGTTGATACAATTTTACTCAAATGTGTATTACGTCTGCAGGATTTTTGGTACTGAAAAGGTCCACGTTTTGGTACAGCCACCATATAACGGTACCTCCTAATGTCCGTCTGTGGAAATCACTCTAGGTTCCGAACGAATTGAAGTAAGTTGATAAAATTTTACTCAAATGTATATTATGTCTGCAGGATTTTTGGTACTGTTTACTGTTTCAAATTTGGTATTTGAAGTTCGTAATGAATACTACAGCCTAAGATAGAGAAGTGTCTGTGCAGGTCCACGTCTTCGTATAGCCCCCATATAACGGTACCTCCCGATATTCGGTATTTTGATGATTGCTACAAATTTGGTATTAAAAGTTCGTAATGGATACTAGGAATGGCACACATTTCATCGAGAGTGATTTGAATGGAACAAAGAGCAAAAATTTTTTTCGCTCAGAAAATTGTGTGTGGCAAATCAAGTATATATTTCACAAATCAAGTATATATTCAAACGATGGTAATGTTTGCCGGGGGGTAAGGCAGGGAATACCTAGGTTTCGGATAGAGCCACCAATCCTCATCAGTTCCCTTGTTTTTATCAGGGATATTCCCCAGAAGTTATTTAAAAAAAACTCCTATGACAATAGAAGAGGAACCAAAAAAATTAAATAAAACTAAAATTCTTCTAGAAAATCTTACAACCGCACTTATAAACATTTTCATCTTTCTCTATTTGTTATGCTTTCGTATTGCATTACCAACAGACATGTGTGTCCACATGACAGAAAACATACGAAACTCACAAAATTTGATCGGACCTAATTATTTTTTGATCAGAGCTCGTAGGTATTCAACAACCGACGTAGTCAGTGCGGGGAATGAGGGCCCCAAATGGCACATTTTTAGATACTTCTAGGGAATTCAACTCAAATATCTCTTTTGTTATCTGTTGGAATCGCTGACTTACATCGAAAGTTATGAGAGCATTGAAAATTGTGATCCTTTGTAGGGGAGGCAACAGAGGGAGTGAGCCGATGAGTGAACCAGATCTTTTGTTAGCATAAATCAATACAGAGCACGAAGGTGTTCTAGCACAAGCGGCCAATTCAACTTAGTTCAATCAATGTCCATAAATTATTTGACACCATTCATGTTAATAAATTGCAAAACGTAATGAAAATGCCTTTTTATTTTCTCTTAAACAACCTCTTTGTATGATTTTGCTCAGCTCTGATATAGCTATTTCGATGTGTGAAATTCAGGAAGAGAAGTTGAACTATTCATTTATTAAGAGAAGTTTAATTATTCAAAATTTTGACCGGTGGTCCAATATATTAATATATATATATATATGGTGTGGGCCAACATTATTAGTTTTCACACCTGCACTGATATAATATTAGGATTCGCAAAGTTTGTACAAAACTTAGTGATCAAGAAAGGATCAAGGATTCTATAGGGTAAATTATTTTCTGTGAACATTTTGAGCATATGTGGGGGGGGGGGGGGGGGGAGTCCATCTCCGAACTTCATCTAAGTTTGACAATAATATAACGATGTGCCAAGTGTGGACCTTCGAGAAAAATTCCGTATAATGCGCTTGGGATCCTGATGATGTGGAATACATATTTCATTTATAGTATTGCCAATCAAAGGTCTGATGGTATTAATATTAGAGGAGTTATCAGACGGAATGAATGGTACAAAATCCTCACCCGCTGAGAGTGCCCTTGGTTATATAAAAGTTGAGCGACCAGTGGCGGGACCATTCTTCAATTTTCGTAAAAGACCATGACAAAGGTAATATTTTTCCACGAACAACAACCAATAAAATACAATGTTTTATAGCAAAATGCTCTAAAAATATCTAAAAACAAACCATTTCGGAGGAAGCCCGGGTACCTAAGCCGCTCTGACAACGTCGCCACTACATTGCAGTGGGAGCCACATCAGCCGAATAACCCATTACTTGATAATGTTAACATACAAACTTTTGTTTTGCAAGTAAGTTGAAGATAGTGAGCCATTTCTTAGAAACGTACGAGAGATAAGTAAAGTCGCCGAAGATTGTACAATACCTGAGGTTGTGAGTCCGAGATTCGGCGTCTACAAACGAAAAACATTTATAATATACGATGAGTTCTTAATGAACATTAAGCCCACCTGAATGTACGTTCGCTTTGTAGTTTTGTACTCGTCAATATATCTGTGTATTTACATATTTATTTTTATTTAACATACTATCGTTTTAGAAGAATAAATACTTTAGCTTTCGGAATTCTATCACATTTTAAAATCAATAAAAATAAAATTATTATTTGGCCTCTAATCGTTTAATTGAAGATTTCGTTTGTACGGACCTAACCGTATTCATAGGATAAAAGATTGCTGACCACATTATCGAAAATTATTTGGCGCACTCCCAGGCCACAGATGAAGTCAAAGTGATTCCATTTTTTGTGTGGCAGCTTATAGATGGCTTGTATAGACCTGAGCCGACGAATTAGCCTCCAAATATCTTCCACCGAAACTATGTAATCGTTTTCGGCGTAGTAAATGGTTGTGGGAACTGACACATTCTCCAGACAATAATCGGGGGGTTCCAGTTGATGATAACGCAAAAAATTCTGTTCTGGACCATAATCATACTGGCGGAATTTTTTCGACATATATCCCTGGAAATAATGCATGATCTGCTTAAAGGATCCGCCAACGGGGAAGTTGGCCATTATGTCTGGCAGCAGCGTCTGTAAGAAAACCACTCAACATTAAAGATTGTCGTTTGAGTCATATCCGTTACATTACCTTGTTGAGAAGCTCTGTGTCATAGCCTGCAGCTGGCCATAGCCGACTCACACAAACCAGGGGTCGTTCATTTTCCAAACAGGCCATGGAGAGCAGCTTCTTAACATACTTATTTGTAGACACCATTTCCACTCCCTCCAGCACCTTGGACACATAGTTTCTCGTGCCCAGTAAGGGGCCAAATACTTTTGCCAACGCCCCCTTGGTGTTGCTCACGTACGCAACGGGGGCCAATAGGGTGGCGGTCTTAAATACGTCGTTATATTGGGGCAACATAGAGTTTAGGACCAGGAAAACAGTGCCCCCTTGCGAAATGCCAACAAAGTGCATTCTCTTCTCACCCGTGTACATTCGAATGAAGTCAACCATGGCTGTCATGTCGAAGACGCTCATCTCATGCCAGGAAAAGTTCCAAAATTCTGGTTCGCTTGCATTGAGAAACACATTGCGGCGTGAATAAATATTGCCCCTGTTGTTGCCCAGCCACACGTCAAATCCGCTTTTCGAAAGCAAATATGGCAATGAGTTCTCCGGTCCATTCAAGAGCCATGCATCCGATGACGCATATATGCCGGCCAGCATCAAAACCGTTGGTCGTCTCAAGACGCGGACTCTTCCATTCGAAAAGCGCTGGAGAACTGGTATGCGATGCAGTGTCAACACATATCCGTCTTTAGTTTGCACTTTGTGATGTTCAACGGGAAAGCCGTCATGACGTATACGCCTCACCTGAAAATCGAAATTTATTTACAAACTTGTATACGCCAAACTTGACCCAAATTAAGACGTGTGTGTGTGTGTGTGTGTGCGTAGAAATTTCAACGGTCGTGCTGATATGCGATTACTATCTTAAATGTTACAAGTGTCCGTTGAATACTCTCGGAGCGACGTGGCCGGCCATGTATTTATCAACAACTCGGGATATTTTACGTGACTCACGTCCCTCCATTCATATTCAAGCAAGCCAACAATGTTTGTCGTTCACGCGAAAGACATTTGATTTTTCAATGGCAGACAAAACACACTCACATGCATACAGATTTATCCAGTTTTCGTACATGGCTACCATCATCGACAAACAAATTTGAATAGATTTCTCCTGAGTGGTCGGTTTGCTTTACGACTCACCAAGATATGAGCAAGTTTGCTTGGAGACACTGTGTCCTCGAATCAAGAGCAAGAGCATTCCAAAAGGATCGAATGCGTCCATTCAAAGACCCTACTTGATTTATATGAATAAGGAATGGTAATGATACACCCTACCATGGGGGGAACTCCAATCGTCCAATAGCATGAAATTTAGATAAACAAGCTATTTAAAAGCGGTAGATATAAAGGAGAAATTCCAATTAATAGGCCTACATTCGACCACTGAAAGGCCGTGCTGTATGATTGCATTGGATTAGAAAGTGTCATAAACTTCGAAGTAATCTGTGATCAAGAATATAAATATAAAACATATACAGTTAACGAAATGTCAAAAAGTCACCCTATTCCTATATTAGAGTAACAGGTGGCCTAAAAAGATTAAACATCAGTTTTCAACTTTAAATATCGTGTTCAAGAATTCGGATCTGTCCTATATACTTCTTTGTACCTCAGCTTACACGAACTTGTGCACCATAATACAAAAGCAGCAGGATTTATGAGCAAGGATGAGGTAAAAATGAAAAAGCATCATGGAATCCTGAAAATATAACTCTAGGGTTTTGAGCACCGCCCCATGGTATGGTAGAGCTACCAGCTGATTACAATTTTTTCTAAGTGTGCCCGACTTATGCCAATTTTGTGTATGTATTTATTGTTTTAAAAAATGAAAACAAAACATTTTCAAAATCAATGATTGGAAGACACATACATTGCGGCTCGCGCATTAAAGCCATTAACCAGTTTAGCCATGAAATTGAAAGATTGAACAGTTCGGGTCATACTTATGAGTGAAAATTCAGGCATTTCATTCATTTTTCGCGCTATATAGACCATTTTAAAAATGAGGAAAAATGTGAAAAAATGAAAAAAACTTGTTGCATATAATTTTGAATGAGTCTGATAGGAAGCGGGCATAGCATCAGGGCTGTATTTCTGTAGTTTTACGAAACTGTTCTACCTCCTTATTGTACCATGCACCGCCCTAGTAGAACATTGACTGCCAACATAGATGATTTTGGGGCACTTTTGCTGCGGCTCTAAAAAGGAGATTAAACTGAGATATGACTCACAGAAATGAGTTTCAGTTATACCAAACATAGATACATATATCGCTATTTCCTCAGGCATAATAGGGTGGCTTGTGAAAATACTATCGCGACATAATAAACTTCGAATCATTTATTTCCGAAGGTTCATCATGGATAACCCAAGCCTAACCAAATTCTTGTTCAACAATGTCATTTTCTACAAATCAGCTCACAGCCCGATTGCCATGTGGCACCAAAGTCCAAACAAAATTTGGTTTAAGCGATGACAAACCTTGAAATGCCAATAATGGCCGCCTGCCAATAAATGTGCTAGACTACCACACGCTGTGTGTGTAAAATCAAATGTTTTGAAAAAATACGGTAATTCAAAGAAACGTAACATTTTGTCAGTCGTGCCTTTAACCAGATGTTTAATTGTGTCGGAGGCTACATTCACTCTACATTAATTAAGTCTGGAACTCCTGGCGTTTTACAAAAAGGGCAGCCTTTGCATAAATCAACGAAAAGAGGCTTCAGTAATCAGTCTTTTCGTTGTTTTGAATAAAAAAGAAAATAATAACCTTTCCGATACACTTCGGCTACAAATGGAAAGGTGATTTTTTATGTTTTATAAACATAATCCTAGCAAGATATTTTTAAAAGCTTTAAAATATACTGCAACCCTTTTGGAAGCACGAAAAAGAACAGCACACATACATACACACACACACTGGCAAGTAGATTGGCTTCCGCATGATGAATTGCATATAAATCGAACACATTAGGGAAGTGACAAATAAAGCTGTTTCTCCCGCCAACTGCAGCCATGGTCTGACCAATCGTTACTTTTGCATTGTGCTGTGCAGCTGTAATGAAGATAATTTGAATACATACCGCATCTGTTATGATGATCTCACGATTCTGCCGATAGGGGGAAAACACCGCATCGAGTTGCCTCCACATGCAGCTGTAGACTAGCAGTAAGACAACAAGCTGCGGTTCAATTGGTCGCCATCGAAAGGAACCTATCATCCCTGTGTACCCAATCCGCCTAATCATCCTTCGCCCCGAAGAATAGAGCGTGGGCGATGTTGTTCTCGTTGATTGTGTGTGTGCGTGTGTGTGTGTGTGTTTGGCCTGGCACAGTATGGACAGATGTTTTCTGTTTTGTCTTCAGGGTCGTTTATTTATTTTCGGTCTACATTCATAGACGGTATCGTAAGTGGCGCTCCCCTCTTTGGGCTCGAATGTTTTAGTTCATTTTGTCACTATATCAATATGACATTCGAATTTCAATTTCGAATATTTGTATTGCGGCAATTTTTGAGTTTAGCCATCGATTTTCATTCGATTATGAAACAATACGTGCACGACCATTCGACTTGACAACTGCAGCAAACACAAAATTAACAGCAACAAAACCGCAATAATAAATACAGAAGCGAACGTGTGCAACACATTTAACCGGTTCTTTTCTACAACAACAACTTCTTTGCCGATTACACCACTGAACGGTAATGACGATGATGATGATGAGGAGGATCAAGGTGCAACGTTAAACCGCCGTTGCCACCACCTTTTGAACTTCTTCACAATCACTGTCTAACCAGTACTTTTCGTTGTTCCTTATAGAGGTAAGCGGAATATGGTCAGTACACGTGCTCGGCCAGCATGGGCTTGCATCTGAAAGACCGGAGAAACTTTTTCCGAGTTATTCCGTTTGTCAGGCCAAGTGAAGAAGCGAACGGTAATGTATGATCAAGTGTCTTTATGCGACTGACTGGGCAAGACCTGGCATTGGTATTAAAGTGAATACCGCCACCACACATCGTTTTTTTTTTGCTTCTTCTACTTAATAAGGTTTTACTTGCAATGAAACAACGTTTGTATGTATGTGATGATGTTTTGTTTTTGTCGTAGCGTCGGTGCCAACAAGGGCGGACATCCCAGCAAAACAAGTCATAGATTTATATACCACCCCAACACACATAGTATGGGGGGTTTATTAAGTTTGTCATTCCGTTTGTAATTCAACGAATACAATACCATCCGGACCGCAGAATATTGGCTACACTTAAATCGGGAGACACCGTTATATGGAGGTTATAACTAAATATAACCTCCATATAACGGTGTCTCCCGATTTAAGTTTTTTAGTGGTTTAAGTCATATTTTATCTATCGGTCAACATTTCCGTTAGCACGTTAGCCCCTATACAATCGTAACTCTTGATATACGGTAGTGTAAAGTTTTTAGACACATTTTCACAGGCTTTACCTACTACGGCCTTACACTGTCTGATATTTCGTATTTTGATGATTTGAACAACACTTGTTGATGAAATTGTTTCAAATTTGGTAGATGAAACTGGCAATTGATAAAAACAACCCTATAATAATATGTCTGGTATTTTGAAGACTTTAGATAAATTCTCCAAGCGATTTGATTGGCAGTTGCAGTTTAAAATGGAACGAGTACAAATATTGAATTCCGATACTATTATTTATTATTATTTATTTTACTAAAAGTTCGGCTCTTTTTATACCCTCCAATATACATGGTATTAAGTTTTGCATTCCGTTTGTAACTCATAATCATCATTTGCATCCTACAAAGTATATGTATATTCTTGATCAGCGTAAAATTCGAAAAAAAACAGATCAGTCTTTTGTCTGCTGGCGGGTCATGGTCGAATATGGGCTATGAAAGTGCTCCTTCATATGCAACAGTAAACAATTGGGTTGCTGAATTAAAACGTGGTGGTAGATGAACCTCGTACTGGACGTCCAAAAACAGCAATAACAACACAGATTGTAGCCAAAGTGCATAATATGGTATTAAATGATCAACGAATAAAAGTGCGCGAAATTCCTAATACCGCATTTGTTAACGCATTTGTCAACAAACGATCAAAAACGCATAAAAATGAACATTTCTCAAGCTTGTTTGGATCGTTTTAAGCGAAATAAAATGGATTTTAAGCGTCGTTTCATAATTGTGGTTGAGGCATGGATAAAAAATGTCCTGGCTTACAACACAAAAGAATAATTTTTCGTCAAGACAACACACCAGAGCACAGGAGTGTTTTAACAACGGCTAAAATCAACGAATTAAAGTACGAGTTGCTTGACCACACACCTTATTCTCCTGAGTTAGCTCCCAGTGACCTTTACTTGTTCCCAAATCTTGCTGTCAAGCGTTTTACCTAAAATAAAGATGCAATTACAGTTGTAAACCACTGTTTTGAAGACCTTAAGGAAAACTATTTTAATCAAGGGATAGAATTGCTAGGAAAGCCTTCTTTCATTGATAGTCTGAGAAGTTTCCGAACCGCCCTCGTACTGATTAACTGATTTTTTAGTTTTTATCCTCTTAACTCAGTAGGAAAACGTTGAAAATATTAAGGTTAGAATAGATTGTCTGCGACGTTTTTAGAGTCACAGCAAAGTAAATCTCGAAGTCTGTGGCAACAAATACAATTTAACAACGACCCCGTAGAAATCCATTATTGTAAGTAATGCTAATGTCAGATTTATATGCCCAAAACTTAAAACAAAACATGTTTAATAACTTATTTTATTTTCTAAAATGTATAATTTTGAAATTGCAATTATTGGTCTGTTCCAGAACTGCAAGAATTTAAAAGTTGGTACTACGAAAACCGATCTTCTCTTTATGATATCGAAGAAAATTGCAAAACTAGTAGACTCTTGCAGGTTTTGGAACACACCGTATAAGTGAAAATAATTGAAATGTTTAATTCGAATGCTTTAATATCATTCGTAGTCGCTTCGTTCAACTGATGTGACTTCAATTCATATTCTTAATGTAGGTCCAGTTGATTGTCACAATACATATTGCCAAAAATACGGTATACAGATCAGGGCCAATTTAATTAAGCTGAAAAAATTGCATCATTAGAACATCCTTGCAGCTTCTGGAATTTGTAATTTAAACAGTGTTTTTTGGTAGCAGATGGTCTTTTTTGCATTTTAAAAAATATAGTTTCCATTAAAAATATATATATACTTCTGTAATGTGGCATACCTTCTTCGACTTCAATTCGGTCGTATATGCCAAAATACAGATCGAAAGGAGATATATAGACAAATCTTAACCGATCTCGTAGAAAATTGGCAGAGGTTTATCTGAGATGTATCTGATGTCTTGTTCCGAAAACCATTGCTATGGAGTGGCTGAGGGGAACTAAATATCAAACTATGGGTCTACCTCGCTACCTTCTCCATATTACAATCAAATGCACACCAACAAGAGGAGAGTAAAGCTCCGATTTGAGTTCTACTTTGAATTTGAAAAAAAAATTAAATGTTTTCATACCGACTTGACCGATCGATCGCTCGCTCGCTCGCTTGGTTTTCTGGGTAATTAGATGTTGACTTATCGTGTGGCATGCATGTATAGGTACATTTGTGCTGTGTGATAACTGTGTGAATAATGAATGAACGGATAACTGTTTTTTGATTTCGGCATGTGACGACTTGGTCTGGCCCTCTTGTAGCCGACACACCGTCCATGTGGGAAGGCGAAAACCTGTTGCCTCCGATTTTGTCCGACACTAAGCCGCTCGCCATTCGGTGCTTGTGAGCAAGTTCGAAAGAAGCCCAGATGTAAACAAACATTACAACACGTTTCTTTATATGAGTGTTTTGCTTCATTTAATTGCCGGGCGGCTTGAAACGATCGCGGCCCCTGATTCACAGGAAACAAGTACAAACAAGAAAGTAATAAACCTAGTTTTGTGTGTCAGTAATGTGCAACGCTTTGATTTTGGTTTACGGCATTTATGCACAAATCGGTACGTTGGGGTGTGGGTTCCTTTCCCTAACACTCGTTTATGAAACTAGATAAAACCCTTCAAATACTGATCACTCCTTGGTGCAATAATCGTAATAGGTACCTTGGACCGAAAAATGGTGAAATTATGTCAAACATCCATTGAGAAGGCCATACCAAAACGGTCAAGTCTATAGACAATTTTATACTTCAAGGATTATAATCTTCCAAATTTGAAATAATTTCGTAGGTAATTGTGACTAGGATTATAAAATTACCGAATATTGGTGGGTATCGTTATGTGTGCGCTATAGGAAAATGTGGACCTAAATATCCAATGTTCTGCCACCGTTTATAATGGCTTCTATCATTATAAACTACAAATATCAATTTTTAGACAAATCCGTGTAAAAATGTGGCAAAAAATATTATAAATACAGAATATGGGGAGGTACCGTTACCGTTATTTTTTAAATTTAGAATAATCGTTCTACTATTGAGCGACTGAACAATTTAGATCATATATTTGAAAAAAAAAAAAAAAACAAGTTAAAAGGCAGTAAGTTTGGCCGGGCCGAACTTCGAATCCCCTTCACCATTTGGAACAAATTTGGAAAATTGTCAAAAAATAAAATCCTTAAAAAATTCTGTTAAAATTTTAAAAACACCGAATATAGCCGTTATTTTGGGATCCATACGTCGTGGACCTACATAGGCATTCTTTGTCATAAGCCATTACCATATTTAAATTCGAATCTTGAAATAAACGGTGAAGCTAAAATCATCTAAATATGGTATATAGGGAGGTACCGTTATATCGGAGCTGTGCGATCCTGGACCAGCATCTACAATTTTCTATCACAGGCGGTAGCATCCAATACAAACTACAAATACGACAACTCAGACAATTTCGGTGGGTATTGTATCAAAATCGTCAAAATACCGAATATGGGGAGGTACTGATGTATGGGGCCTATACGAAGACCTGGACCTGTATAGACAATTTTCTGTCACAGACTGTTCCCATTACGAACTCTAAATACGTAATTTGAAACAATTCTTGTGAATAATTTATCTAAAATCATCAAAATGCCGAATATTGGGAGGTACTTTTATATGGGGGCTATAAGAAGACGTGGACCTGCACAGACAATTTTCTGTCTTAGGCTGTAGAATCCATTTTGAACTTCAAATAAAAAATTTGAAACAATTCCGATTAATAATGTCGCTAAAATCATCAAAATATCGAATATACCGTTATATGGGTGCTATACGAAGACGTGGATCTGCACAGACAATTTTCTGTCTTAGGCTGTAGAATCCATTTTGAACTTCAAATAAAAAATTTAAAACAATTCCGGTTAGTAATGTCTCTAAAATCATCAAAATATCGAATATACCGTTATATGGGTGCTATACGAAGACGTGGATCTGCACAGACAATTTTCTGTCTTAGGCTGTAGAATCCATTTTGAACTTCAAATAAAAAATTTGAAACAATTCCGGTTAATAATGTCTCTAAAATCATCAAAATATCGAATATACCGTTATATGGGTGCTATACGAAGACGTGGATCTGCACAGACAATTTTCTGTCTTAGGCTGTAGAATCCATTTTGAACTTCAAATAACAAATTTGAAACAATTCCGTGAAATAATGTTACTAAAATCATCAAAATGCCGAATATCGGTAGGTACCGTTATATGGGGGCTCTATGAAACGTGGACCTACATGCCCCATTTACGAACTTAACCTGTCTACTGGAAAAATAAATATGTGTGCAATATAGCCTTCTATCTCAATTCGTTCGAAAGATAGACAGACGGACATCGCTAAATCGACTTAGAATTTTGCGCTGATCAAGTATATATATACTTTGTTGGGTCCGACATGAGTATTTCGTGGAGTTTCAAACGGAATGACAAAGTTAATATACCCTCCATAGTATGGTGGAGGGTATAAAAAAATCGATGAATTTCATTCATTTTTCCCTCTATTGAACTCTTTTAAAAAATGGGGAAAATATAAAATCAATGAAAACAATTCG